CCAACACTGGCTGTGGGAATTTGTGGAGGGAATCAGCAGATGGAGGATCTCTGTCTCTCCATCCCTCTAGCTTTCAAATAAAGTAAAAAAAAAAAAAAAAAGGCTCAGGGCTCATGATGAGTCTGATTAAAAAGTCTGCAGGGTATATCACAGTGAAACTACATAGTGATGTGGCAGAAAATCAAAGACAAAGAGAAAATCCTGAAGGTCACTAGAGAGAAGAACCAGATACCTATAAAGAATAACAAAGATTCAGGAGGATTTCTCATCGGCAAGCAGTAGGTTTTAGAGACAATGAGAATAGCTTTAAAGTTTGCCAAAATAATACAGAAACTACATTCTATACTTAAACAGAGATTTAAAACACAGCTTGGCTGTGTTAAGCTTGGCTTAAATTCTGATTTTTGCCTTACCAATTATTTAAACTTTTCCTGCTTTGGTTTGCCTATTTTCAGTTTGTGATAGGAACACTATTTCTTCTGTTGTGGATGGATTACTCAAAATGATGTACATCAAATGTTAGGTGATTGCCCTGGAAACTCTTTTGAATGTCCTATTTTTTGGAGGCTATTTATTTATTTGAAAGTCAGAGTTATGAGAGAGAGGGAGGGAGGGAGGCAGGGAGAGAGAGAGAGAGAGAAAGAGAGGAAGAAATTCCATCTGCTGATTTACTCCCCAGATGGCTGCAATGGCCAGTGCTGGGCTGGGCTGAAGCCAGGAGCCTGGAGGGTCCTCCAGGTCTCCCACGTGGGTGCAGGGGCCCAAGCATTTGGGCCATCTTCCACTGATTTCCTAGGCACATTATCAGGAAGCTGGATCAGAAGCGGAGCAGCTGCATTTTGAACTGGCATCCATATGGGATCCTTGTATCATAGGTGGCTTAACCTGCTATGCCACAGTGACTGCCCCTATTATTATTTTTTTTTTTGAATGGAGAGTAGAAACTCAGATTTTTTAATTTAATGATGTCTTATCTCTGGCCATTAGATTGTTTGGCATGTGGAAGATGTTTCATTGACATCTCTTAAATGAATGCATGGAGTGATATTATGGGTTGTAATGTTGCTTAGTGGGTAAAGAAGCACAGTAAAGGCATCAGGGAATTTACATGGTTTTCTACTTAAATACAGTAGCCTGAAGAATTATCCAGCTCCTCTGCTGGCCTTAGGATAGTCTTGAAGAACCAAGAACTTTGGATAATACACAAGGCTTATGTAGTCTAGTTAATGGAAAACTGAAGGAGGTAGATAGGGACTTTGAAGCTATACACAGCAGACCCAGCTATATGTTCTCCTCCAGCTTGTGTTATAGTCTTACTTTTATAAATCAGGCTAAATTGATATACTCTTTTATGATTAGTTTTGAGATAGCAACTATGGAACTGCTAACATTCATTCAACAATTCTTTAAGATCACCTCATTAGGTGTGAAGCATTGTATTAGGTGCTAAGAAGTTGGAGTGTATGAAACAGAGAAAAATCCCTAATCTCAGGAAACTTACATTCCAGAAAAGAATGAAAGCAATAAATAAGGTAAATATGTAAATTAAACACTATGTTGGGCAGTGCTAAGTGCTAAAGAAACAAAGGAGGGAAGGAGAACAGAAGTTTTGTTTCATTCTGCTCTTAAACACTTTTAAAATGATGAGAGAATTAAGGAGGTAAAGAGCAGGCCTTATAGATATTTCTGGAAAGAACACGTCAACCAGAGAAAGCAGCAAATGCAGATGCTTTGGCGTGAGTTTGCTAGATATGTTGGAGGCTCGATGAGGATAGTAACCAAATGAGGATTCCCTGCCAGAGTTAGCACTGTGGTTTCTGTAGATTCCCCTGAACCCTGCTCACACCTTTGTAGACCAGTTCAATAAACTCTTCTCAATTGTCTCTTCTGAGATGCCATCTGTTTCCTGCAGGGATCTGAAGGATATGAGTGAACTCTATCCTATTTGGGAGTGCTGCATAGTTTGTAAAAAGAAATGTTGGTAGAGTTCAGAGCAGAAGAAAATCTCTATCAGATAAAACATGTGAATCTTTGTTTTGACCTTGAAAGAAATATAATAGAACCCAGTTATTTCTTTGATCATGCTTTTGATTCATGATAACTCTCACCCATAGGCTCAGCCAAAAATCTATCTAGGTGTTATCTTGGATTCTTTTTCTTTTCTCATCCGCTCTGTACAACATCTCATTGATCACTAAATCCTGTCTGATTTTCTAAATATTTCTTGAGTCATCCTTTCCAAATTTTTGTCATCTACCAACTGGGTGTTTGCAATATCTTCTCTGTTCCTGGTGTCACATTTTTCCAAAGTGATCTTCCTAAAGTGCAATAGTATATTTTTTGAGAAATGGAAAAAAAACTGTAGCAAACTGAGTATGAGATCCAGTTTTTTTTTCTTCTCATTTTATCATCTGAAAAAATATCTCCAGTAAGGAAGTCTTCAGCTATAAGATTCTGTAAATCATGTTTTGAGGTGGAGAAAGGCTATTCTAGATGAGGCATCCTAGTAAGAAACCTAAGGAGATGAGTAGGGTGTGTTTGTGGTAGAGGTAGACTGTGGATAAGAGAGAAAGGGAGGCTTGCTTGACTGGAGAGAGTTGACTCAAAAACAATTTCTAATTACTGTTATTTTTCTGAGTCATTAAACTAGGTTCTCAATACAGTACAAAAGGCAGCCAAATCTCCCTACATGTGTCAGTGTAAAAACAAAGCAAATGTCCTCTTTGGTAGTACCACTCTCAGAGTCTACTTTGACTTGTTTACCTAAAGCAAGAAGCTGGCATGTCCTTAACTCTCAAAAATTTTGTGCAATGAGAGTTTATATAATAGGCAACCGTTTCTGTGCTACAGCACAATAAGATTTTTTTTTTTTTTGACAGGCAGAGTAGACAGTGAGAGAGAGAGACAGAGAGAAAGGTCTTCCTTTTGCCGTTGGTTCACCCTCCAGTGGCCGCCGCGGCTGGCGTGCTGCAGCCGGCGCACCGCGCTGATCCGATGGCAGGAGCCAGGTGCTTTTCCTGGTCTCCCATGGGGTGCAGGGCCCAAGCACTTGGGCCATCCTCCACTGCACTCCCTGGCCACAGCAGAGAGCTGGCCTGGAAGAGGGGCAACCGGGACAGAATCCGGCGTCCCGACCGGGACTAGAACCCGGTGTGCCAGTGCCGCAAGGTGGAGGATTAGCGGCATTGGCACAATAAGATTCTTAATATAACAAATGAACATAAATGAAATTAAAGATACATATGATGAAATGAATTTGGTGTTTCATAAGATCATTTCAGGGGAGAGAGAACTCATTAGATTGTGAAAATGTATCACAGCGAGAACAGGATCTCATTGGCAGAGCATCACTCACCAGAGAGTAATTCTGCTGTTGTCGTGGGGCTCTGCATACAGGGCAGATTGATGATGATCCTTCTTTATTGAGATTTTGGGTTCACATCTCATTTATGTTTGTGCCTGTCAGATGCAGAGCCTTTACTTGTCATTGTATTTCTTAGATGCATCTTGATCCCTGATGCTGAAGCAGTGCAGTAAGTATGCACGGGAAATGCATCAGTAAACACTAAGAGAAAAAGACAGTGCCAAGGGCAGAGTCTTTTCTGCAAGATAACAGGGATGAAGCTAAGGAAAGGAAAGATGGATGTTCGCTATCAGAAAAAGTACCCTGGCCATTCAACTTTAAGAATAACTTCCCAAGGGAAACTGTGCAAATCCTACTACTTGAGGCATTTGAGAATAGATTGGATGATGTACTGGAGATTATCCAGTAGGGTGTCAAATGTACTCTGGTCTATGGAGTGAACTAAAATAGCTGCAAAACCCACAAAATGGTCTTTTGCGGTTATGATTCGCAGAGTCCAGTCAAGCCTTGCTTTATTGAATTCTTAGCTATGAACATATGGATTTTCCCAAGCTGATTAGGAGAACTTCACCTTAGCATATGAGTCCTGATGGCCCCACCTGCACATGGGCTGGGTCACTAAGAGGCTGTCCATGTGGCATGTCTTACAAAATTGGTTTGATCTCTTTCTTTCTCTATCCTCCCTTCTTCCCTATGCTCAAGATAAGGAGTCGTCCTGGTGTGTCTGTTGGAGTGCCTGCTCTCTGCTGCTCACTGTACTGTGGTTTCATATTTAAAGGTGAATATATGTCTAAACCCACTAGAGTCAACAAGAGATGTGGAAAATACTATGCCTGCCAGCCATTCCACAAACGGACAAGCTCTGCCAACTCTGGAGAATTGTCATGAAAATTCTTCTGGAACCCTGCCCCAAAGTACCCAGAGATGTGCTGAGGGTTCTGGGTCATCTCTGTTTCCCATCTGTTAGTGATTTGATGCCAGCTGAAGTTTTTTTTTTTTTTTTAAGATTTATTTATTTGAAAGTCAGAGTTACACAGAGAGAGAAGGAGAGGCAGAGAGAGAGAGAGAGAGAGGTCTTCCATCTACTGGTTCACTCTCCAAATGGCCACAACGCATGGGAAGCCAAGACGCTGTGGCAAAAATGACCTAAATGAAAGATCTCTGTGAGTGAGAACCCAGTGGAAAGAACCAGCCATCAAAGAAGGAGGTACCTTTCTCTGAAGGGAGGAGAGAACTCCCACTTTGACTATGGCCTTGTCTAAATAAGGTCAGAGTTTGTGAACTCAAGAGGCTTCCATAGCCTTGGCAGCTCATGAAAAGAGCCTTGGGTGATTACTGACATCATAAATAAGAGTGTCAATTGTTAAATCAGCAACAGGAGTCACTGTGCACTTGCTTCCTATGTAGGACCTCTGTACTATGAGAATTAATGGTAAAACTAATCTTCAAACAGTACTTTATTTTTGTGTGTTTGTGTGGGTGCAAACTGTTGAAATCTTTACTCAGTATAGAGTTGATCTTCTGTATATTAAGAGAATTGAAAATGAGTCTTAATGAAGAATGGGATGAAAGAGGGAGTAGGAGATGATCGCATCGTTTGTGGGTGGGAGGGTGGTTGTGGGGGGAAGAACTGCTACAATCCCAAAGTTGTTTTGAAATTTTTATTTATTAAATAAAAGTTTTCTAATGAAACAACAATAACAACAACAAAAAACAAATGGTCACAATGGCTGGAGTTGAGCCAATACGAAGCCAGGAGCCAGGAGCTTCTTCCAGGTCTCCCATGTGGGTGCAGGGGCCCAAGGAAGGCCCATCTTCCACTGCCTTCCCAGGCCACAGCAGAGAGCTAGATCAGAAGAGGAGCAGCCGGGACTCGAACTGGTGCCCATATGGAATGCTGGCACTCCAGGCAGCAGCTTTACCCGCTATGCCATAGTGCCGGCCCCAAGGTTTTTAATTCTGTAACGACAGGCCCAGCCTATCATTCCAGAACAGCTCTAAGAGGCTCTGGAGCGAACACCTAGAAGGCTTACTGCTATTTCTTCTCTCACCCCCTGATTAACTGCATTTGACTAAAAATATATTTGGGAAAGTCTTTGGACAAGTTGCTGATATGGTCACAGAGCTGACCTGAGGCAAGCACAGGGGTCCAGCGGCCCAGGGATCTAGGCAAGTCAGGAGGCCGAGAAGGACTCAGGTCAGTTTTTTGAGAATTCTCTGTTTATTCATTTTATTCCATACTTTCTCAGTTGTTTGGAATGCATAGCAATTTTCCCACATAATGGATTCTGGCCATCTATGATTGTAACATTTACAGTCTAGGTGACCTACCTGAGTGTGAACTGGAAGCCCATTTTTTTTTTTTTTCACAGGCAGAGTGGACAGTGAGACAGAGAGACAGAGAGAAAGGTCTTCCTTTGCCATTGGTTCACCCTCCAATGGCCGCCGCGGCCGGCGCACCGCACTGATCCGAAGGCAGGAGCCAGGTGCTTCTCCTGGTCTCCCATGGGGTGCAGGGCCCAAGCACTTGGGCCATCCTCCACTGCACTCCCGGGCCATAGCGGAGAGCTGGCCTGGAAGAGGGGCAACCGGGACAGAATCTGGTGCCCTGACCGGGACTAGAACCCGGTGTGCCGGCGCCGCAAGGCGGAGGATTAGCCTAGTGAGCCACAGCGCCGGCCCGGAAGCCCATTTTATAAGGTAAAATGCCTGGTTTTGTTGGGGGGCATGAATTCAAATCGACCTGTACTGCAGGCAACTGCACCTGAGATCAGTTACCTAGTGACCAAACTCAGCTTGCTGCCCAGCCTCTTCCTCTCACAGAGCCCTTTTCATTCTTTCTTCTTGTTCCAGGTGAGAAGGTTTGAGATGTTTCCTTGGTAAATGCCATGATCCTGAATTGCCTCATGACCACAACCCTAGCCCAGTCTGGGCTTCCTACACATGCAAGATCAAAAAGAAGGCCCACAGAGCACCCACAACAGAACAGAATCTGTCACACATTATTTTTTATTTTAAATATTTATCTTTAAAAATACTTATTTATTTGAAAGTTAGAGTTACAGAGAGGCAGAAGCAGAGGCAGAGGCAGAGAGAGAGAGAGAGAGAGAGAGGTCTTCTATCTGCTGGTTCACTCCCCAAATAGTTGCAATAGCCAGAGCTGGGTTGATCTGAAGCCAGGAGCCTGGAGCTTCTTATAGGTTTTTCATGTGGGTGCAGGGGCCCCAAGTACTTGGGCCATCCTCTGCTGCTTTTCCAGGCACATTATCAGGGAGCTGCATTGGAAGTGGAGCAGCTGGGGCTCAAACTGGTGCCCATATGGGATGCTGGCACTGTAGGCAGTGGCTTTACCCACTATACCTCAGTGCTGGCCCCCTCTCACACATTATTTGTTTATCTTTTATTAGGGGCCTGGCCCTATTCTAGGTGGCACAAGAAATACAAAGATGAATATGGCCCTCAAAGAAAGTACCACCAGCAGGAGAGAAAACCAAGAACTCAAATGACTGTATTTTGGAGCAATGTCCAATGACTACTCTGTGGTATTTTCCAACACCGACAGCCAATTTTCTGATTCTGTGAACACCAACTGGGTTTTCAACAATTCAATTCAGTTCTATCTTGTGGGGCAGGAATGTTCTACTCTCCACGCATGCGGATGCATTCACAATTCAGAGGCTTTCTGAACCCCATTATTTAGGGGTTTTTTAGAGATTCTACTACATAGCAATGAAGGGTTAAATCCCTGGACATTGGGAGTGAACTATATCTCCAGTTCCTCTCCCTTCTCTTGAGGTTGGAGGGCAGGTTTGAAAGTTCCGAACTTCTAATCAAGGCTTGGTATTTCTGGCAACCAGGCCCCCTCCTGAAGCAGTCCAGGGGTCCCTAGCCCCAGTCTCCTCATAAGCATACACAAGACATTTTTGTCACTCTGCAAATTCCAAGGTTTTAGAACCTGTGTACCAGGTCTTCAAAGAAGGAGGTACCTTTCTCTGAAGGGAGGAGAGAACTTCCACTTTGACTATGACCTTGTCTAAATAAGATAAGAGTCGGAGAACTCAGAGGGCTTCCATAGCCTTGGAAACTCATGACTGGAGCATAGGGAGATTACTGATGCCATAGACAGGAGTGTCAATTTGTAAAGTCAACAACAGGAGTCACTGTGCACTTACTCCTCATGTAGGATCTCTGTCCTTCATGTGCTGTACATTGAGATTTAATGCTATAACGAGTACTCAAACAATATATTTCACTTTGTGTTTCTATGGGGGTGCAAACTGTTGAAATCTTTACTTAATGTATACTAAACTGATCTTCTGTATATAAAGAAAATTGAAAATGAATCTTGATATGAATGGAAGGGGAGAGAGAGCGGGAAAGGGGAGGGTTGCGGGTGGGAGGGAAGTCATTGGCGCGGGGAAGCCAATGTAATCCATAAGCTGTACTTTGGAAATCTATATTCATTAAATAAAAGTTAAAAAAAAACCTGTGTACCAGGACCTAGGGATAAGATCCATTATATATTCATTTTTATTATATCACAACAGCCATAAGGAAATTACAAGGCAAACCTTATCTGACTTCAAAGAGACAAAGATCACATTCTCTTTCTTAAAACCACATATTGAAATAGCATGTTATGGAAAAGGACCTGGACTCTGCCAGCCCTGTGTTTGACTTTGGGGGCAAATCTCATAGCCACCTTTCTGTTTCTTTATTGGTATCCTCAATCCATGGAATGGAATGGTGCCGATCTCCTGGAAGGATGCACAGTGTCTCAGATCTCTGACAGTACAGCGGCTCCTTGATGTAGAGTTATTTTGTTTGCTTCTCTGTGCAGTCCTCTATAGGGCTTAACTACATTGCCATTTTTTGTTGTTGTTTCCAGAAATCATGGCAAGATGAGATTACTGCTTGAAACTTGCAATCCTATTATCTGTCAGCCTATGAAAGATAAAAAGTGCCACCAGTGTCTCCAGAAAGTAATTTTTCAGTAGCCATAGGTGACAAGAATTACATTTCTTTACCAGGACATCTTGATGTGGCACATCATAAATATTCAAGTTCTATAGACTTTAAAATAAGATATAATATTTCCTTTCTTTTAAAACACTGGCTTCAAGGTCATGTTCAATATGATTCAAAAAGTAGGAACTAGGAATTCTTATCCATGAGAGCAGAGAAGCCTTTGGGGAGTGGGCTGAAGATTGAGGAAGTTGAAACTGAAAAAGAAGCACAGACTAGAATCATAAATCATAGGATGTGGGGTATCACGTTTGGACCCACACAAATGGGGCCTGTGCTCTGGTCCCATGTTTTCAAAAGTCTGGTTCCAACTCTTCTTCAGTTATGCCTTCCCATGGGATGAGAAATTCAGGAGACCAAGGGGGATACCCACCTGGGGCCCATGCTCTCTCTAACATGTTCCAGGTAATAGGAACTTTGGCACTCTCTGCCCCAATACAAGCTCTGCATGCATTTCTTCCCCAGACCTGTTCTATTGTGGACTCAAAGGGTAGTCAAGGAGTGGTGGCCACTTGATAGGGACATTGGGTAAGCCAAAGATAGACAATGGCTGGGTGAGCACGGCTGACTGTAATACACATGTAGAAAAGATCTTTCATTATTTGATCAGATCCAGGAGAGGCAAGAGAGAAAGGGGTAATGTGTGGGCCAGGGACCTCTGTTACTTATTATTTTCCTAAGCCTGTAAATGTTAGGGGTAGTCCTGTGTGTCCAGACTAGTAACTCTTCAAGCAAAAACCCTGAATTTGTTAATAGTTCCTCACAGAATTGAGTTGGCTGGCTCTTAAGCTAGATTCAATCCTCGTTGTTTTTGCTTCTGTCTGCCATGTCACTAATAGGAAACAGTTTGTAGGACTAATATTTGCACTCCTGGTCCATAGCTCTGATCCTTAAGATACTGGGTTAACAAAACAGAGACTGTGTGGCCTGGAATTTAGGAGAATCCCATGATGTCCACATCCCATGGGAGGAAGGAGTGGCATTCATTCGGGGTCTGAGTCAGAAACTTTCATGGAGGTTTTGGAATGAAATAAGCCTTGTCCTGAGACGTAGGCTAACTGGATCCTGGACTAGCCCCATATCTCAAAGGGCTCCACTCTTTGCTTCCCTAAACTTTTTAAATTTCCCTTCTAATGCCTAGGATAGGGAGGAGACAGCAGAGCCATCCAGGGGCAGGGAGGAGGGGGGAAACTCCATGGCCCTGTATTGGGAACCAGGTGCTCATTTCTCTCCTTTATGGCATTTTTCTTTCCTCTACCACTCACATGGAGTCAACTAGATGCACCAGAAGCTCTGAGTCTCATGCCCATCCTGTCTTCTTGGGGCCTGGACCCCAGTTCTAGGAGTGCTGTCTGGAGATTTAGCAAGCAGATGTCTTCTGCTGGCTGGTTAGTATTTCTTTTGTGGATTATGGAAAATTGGGTGCTAATATGACCGTTTATATAGAAGTCATGCAAATATTTTTTTCCTCTGGATCCTACACACCCTAGGAGTGGTCCTGGTCGTGTTTGCGCAATGTCAGTCTTTTCCTGCCCTGTTCCTTCTAAACCTGCTCTCTCCCAAACCCCATAAGTGGTAGCTTTGGGATCCGCATGGAAGGAAGGCCTACACTTCCGGGAATGGAGAGGTCTACTTCCGGGGAAGAAAGTCCTTGTCAAGGTCCCTGCGGGTGCCTAAAGGTCAACCAATGAGGATCAGACCCGCGTCAACCTTTAACCCCCATGCCCTGAATCTATAAAAGGAGCCCTCCCAATCTCTGACGCGCTACTTCCCCGGCCCCCGCTCTGTTGCTCTGTTGGGACCGGGGAACCTCGCCCAGGAGCGGAACCCCAATAAAAGCCTGTGAATTAATTGATTCGTCTGCCTGGGAAGATTTGTTATGCCCCGGACACCTTACAGATGGTGCCGAAACTGGGGAGCTGAGGTTTAGAGCCTCCCCTTTCTGGGTTCGAGACCCCGTCGCTCATTGAACCTGTCTGGTGCCCCAGACTAACTACGGACCATGTTCGACCAACTGTAACTCCTCCCTTGTTCTCCCTCCCTCCTCTGGGTTGGCCCAGTCTCTGCGATCTCTGGCTAGCTCTCCGTCAGGACAGAGACCTCCAAATTGTGCGCACGTGGGCTCTGTTCTCCGCTGTATAGCCTCCCAGCGGCTGTTGGAGACGTCCTGCCACTGGCTTGGCCCCATAGAGGACTGACCTCTAATCCGTCTGCTGAAGTCCGGGAGAGGGGATGCCTTGACCGAATTTCAGTAGATCCGGGCTACCGGGGAGACCATGGGATCTGGCCAATCCTGAGGGTGGGACTCAAAATGCCCTCTGGCCTGCCTCCTAAAGGACTTGAAGAAACTGGAACTGGCCCAGGACCTACGGAGTAAATGCCTCATCTTCTACTCCACCCAGGCATGGCCTAATTACCTTGAGAATTTCTGCCACAGGGAGAGAAAATGGTCAGAGGTCCCTATGTCCAGGCTTTGAGACCTTCGCTCCAGTCCTACCCTCTTCTCCTCTAATTTCCTCTCTGTCTGCTCCACAGCCCAGGTCTTGCAGGCCAAGATCGGCCCCCACCTCCTAAGGACGCCTCTTCTGTGTTACTGCTGAACTCTCCACCTTCCACCTTTTTGGATCCTCCTGAATTCCTGGGGACCCCACAGCTAGCCAGGAACCTCCCGCCCCCAGATGTGCATTCTTCCGCCCTGCCCCACCCCATGTCCTGCCTCTCCCTGCCGCCATTACTGGAAGCCAGGTAGCCATGTGGCCCAACCACCAGTGTCAGGCTCCCCCCCTCCCCCATCCTAATGGGATTCCCTGCTTCTGCTTCCCTGGCTGCCCTCTGGCAAAGTTTTAAAAGGACCTGTTCCTGACACGTGGCTCTCTAGCCTCCTCCTCTGGTCTCCTTTCTCTTCTCTCCTGCCCACTCTCTCCTCTCATCTCTCTCTTCTCTCCTCACTAGCCCCTCTCCTCTCTTGTCTCTCTTACACTCTCCTCTCTCTTTTTTCCCTTCTTCACCCCACCCCTCTGGTCTGCTGGGTTTTAGGTCAAGTGCCTAAGCCCTACATGGCCAACTGAATATGACATCATGGGCCTAAGGTGTTCTTAGGAAAAATGCAACTGTAAAAAGACACTGAGTTTGAAGGAAGAAAGCCACAGAGGCCTAAAGAGTTAAATGTTCTGTAAAATCCTACAGATGCTTTCAACAATGCTATGTGAAGTATGTGCCTCTTGTTGAGTTTATAATGAGTTTATAATTTTAAATGTGGCAACTTAAAGTCTTTTGTCATCCACAGTTTTATATATCAGATTTGCTGCTCATAAAACTAAAGCGTTGTTGGTTCTGTGCTTAGCTGCTCTCCTATAAATTCTGATGGACTTTTTCCAGCCACTTCTATTGTACTCAGTACTTTGGGATGGCACTGTAAACAGATGAAGCCAATAATGTATTACAGGTACCAACTGAGAGAAAGTATGGTTAGCTGAGGTTACTAACAGCAGAAAGTAATTCGAATCAATTGGTAAGTCAAAAAAACAGTTAAAGAGTTTAAAAAGCTAGTATCAAAACTGCTATATTTGTTATCTAATGATTGAAACTGCTTTCTAAGTTTTCATTTGATATTGCTATTGTCAGTAAGTGATCTGGGACTTGAGCACCCCCTTGACTTGCATCCTCTGGTCTGCTTTAACAAAAACCAGGAGGAAGAGAAAGCTAGGCATCAGAAATGGAAAGATAGGTGGCAGACCTATTAATAGCTGTTCTGCACAGTGATCTGCCCTCAAGGAGACCCAACAGACCAGTCCACTGCAGTGGTTTTCAATGTGGTAAGCCTGGGCTTCAGCAGAAGTCAGCTTGTGAAGAGCCCTGGCAGCTCTGCCAGCCAAGAGTTGGATCACTGGAAATGGACCTGCCCTGGAGTCGAAGGACTTCAGGTCAGAGCCACGGATCTTGCTGGCTCTAAGCTGAAAAGCCCTTCACTCAGCCCAGCTTCCAAAGTGACCACCACAGCTGAGGGGATGGCCAAGTAGGATCAGCAGCACTGCAGGCAGAACTGTAAATTTCCTGTTAGAGATGCCACCTGCCTTTACCTGGCCAGCTTTTCTCCCAGGCCAGTTAGGTAATGGAAGTCAACAGGGTGCCTTCGCCAAGGAGGTTCACACCTCCCTTAGGATGTACCCTATGAAGAGATAGGTCTGGGCCTCTTAACTTATAAGGCCTAAAGCCTACCAGATTATTATCAAGCCCCTTCTGTCAGGTTTTATTTGCCTCTCAATCAGCAAACTTAGTCATGGCTTAGACAGCACCTTTCTTGGGTCCTCTAGTAATGATTCTGTCCTTTGTTCTAGACCCTGTCTAGCCCACTTGGGTCTCATTCCTTTGTAATCATAGCCTCTACTCAAACATCAGTGGCTCTGCTATCAACCTGTGTGTACTGATGGTCCTCTCCTCCACTTAATTTGCATGATTATTCAGAATTTCTCTACAGACAAACCCCTCTACATGCAAAAGTTGAGTGGCCTTTCTCTCAGTCTTGGCTGGGATCAGATTTAAACCATGTCCATCAAACAATCCTCACAAGGGTCCAGAGACCCCCCCCTCATTTCCTCTCCTCTATGAAATCCTTTCATTACCTGGTTAATGCCACTCTTAGGATCATTGGTTGCTATTCTCACCCTGACTTATATACTACAGTGTCTGTTTAAGTGTTTATAGCAGGTGATAATGGAATGAACCACGGCCTTCAGCAACCAGGCAGTCAACCAAATGCTTCTCCATCCATACATGCCTGTCCCTGCGGAGCCCCAAGATACCCCCAGCGGGCCCCTGTAGACGACGTCCCCAGTCAGCAGGAAGTTGCCAGAGACTCATCGTCGCCCCCTTTCCTATCATCAAAAGGTCGGGATGATAACTTCGGGATCCACAAGGAGGGAAGGCCTATACTTCTAGGAATGGAGAGGCCTACTTCCGGGGAAGAAAGTCCTTGTCAAGGTCCCTGCGGGTGCCTAAAGGTCAACTAATGAGGATCAGACCTGCGTCAACCTTTAACCCCCATGCCCTGAATCTATAAAAGGAGCCCTCCCAATCTCTGACGCACGACTTCCCCGGCCCCCGCTCTGTTGCTCTGTTGGGACCGGGGAACCTTGCCCGGGAGCGGAACCCCAATAAAAGCCTGTGAATTAATTGATTTGTCTGCTTGGGAAGATCTGTTACACGCCGGACACCTTACAAATAAGGACTTACATTTTGCAAAGAGCAGAAACCAAGAGGTTGAGGCAGGAGTTTTTAGTGTTTCATTCTTCTTTTTTCTTTCTTTCTTTATATATTTTTTCTTTGACAGGCAGAGTGGACAGTGAGAGAGAGAGACAGAGAGAAAGGTCTTCCTTTTGCCGTTGGTTCACCCTCCAATGGCCGCCGCGGCCGGCGCGCTGCGGCCGGCGCACCGTGCTGATCCGATGGCAGGAGCCAGGAGCCAGGTGCTTTTCCTGGTCTCCCATGGGGTGCAGGGCCCAAGCACCTGGGCCATCCTCCACTGCACTCCCTGGCCACAGCAGAGGGCTGGCCTGGAAGAGGGGCAACCGGGACAGAATCCGGCGCCCCGACCGGGACTAGAACCCGGTGTGCTGGCGCCGCAAGGCGGAGGATTAGCCTAGTGAGCCGCGGCGCCGGCCTCATTCTTCTTTTTTCTTTGACACAAATGCCATTGTGCCCAGCTTCCCAGCCATGTGGAGTCTTATCTCTTGTCACATGCAACTGTGGCCAGGTGGAGCCACAGACAGGAACATGGAGGTGGCCTCGGCAATACTGGAGGGTAATTGGCTTTAAGGAAGACAATCCCATCCCTGCAGAAGCCAGGGGAAAGCCTTGAAAAGAGATTCTGTCAATAAAACCAAGTTCCCAAAGCACTGTGCTCGGCCCAAAATGAGCCCTCTCACTAACAAAAGGCTTCTTGTGTCTGCTCCAGGGAAGGGTGTGTGAGGAACAGGAACACACGGCCGAGGGTGATGCCATGGTGGCTGCTAGTGACGTGGAGTCACAATTCACATTTACCAGGCACATTGCACCCATTATCTGGCTTCATCCTAATGACAGTAGTAGTATTATTTCCATAAACATGTTTTTGAAAGGTGGGATGTGGAGAGAGGGAAAGAGCAGGCTCCCATTGACTAGCCCACCCCCAAATGCCTGCACTGTTTGGGGCTGGGCCCAGCTAAAGCCAGGAGCTGAGAACTCCATGTGGGTCTTCCATATGGGTGGCAGGGACCCAAGTACTTGAGCCATCAGCTGCTGCCTCCCAGAATACACATTAGCTGGAAGCTGGAATCAGGAATAGTCAGGAATCAAACCCAGGCACTCTGATACGGGGTGCAGGTGTTTCTATTATTTCCATTTCATAGGCAAGGGAATAGAGGCAGTGTGGTGAAGTAATTTGTTCATGATGTTGTAGCTGATCAGTGCTGAAGGCAGGATTTAAAAAAAAAAGATTTATTTACTTATTTTTTGAAAGAGTTACAGAGAGGTTGAGAGGAGAGAGAGAGAGAGAGAGAGAGAGAGAGAGAGAGAGAAGGATCTTCCAGCTACAGTTCATTCCCCCAGAAGGCCATAATGGCCAGCACTGTGCTAGGCCAAACCAGGAGCCAGGAGCTTCTTCCGGGTTTCCCACATGGGTGCAGGGGCCCAATCCCTGGGGCCATCTTCTACTACTTTCCCAGGCCATAGCAGGGAGCTGGATGGGAAGCAGAGCAGCTGGGATGCTGCCAGCGGAGGTGTTGGCTTTACCTGCTATGCCACAATGCTAGCCCCTGAAGGCAGGATTTGACCCAGGTCTAGCCAATGCTCAGGACGTGTGACCTGCGGGCTGAAGTTCTCTTATGGGGTGAGGAAAATCCATCCCGCAAGAGAAAATCCAGGCTCTCAAGGACCTCAATAGGGCTCAGGAGAGAACCCTTGAAAGGACTCCTTTAGCTGTGTTTTAAAAACCTTGAAGTACTTGCAGTGAGTGATTTCTTATTCCAAGTCAGCAGCTTTGGAGCTCAACACACTTCAGTTGCTCTTAAAAGGTAGCTGAAAAGTGGGTGTGAGATATTGACATTCCAGAAAGAAAAGATAGTATTGTGGTTCTTTTCACCCAAGCACTTCAAACTCTTTCTAAAACACCTCATGGAGATCCTGTTATCACACACTTCGCAGGGTAAAGACTGCCCATTGTCATTCAGGAAACCAATGGCACATCAAGTTTGATTCAGGGAAATGAAATGGAGCTGGGCTTGGGACCCTTCTCTGGGGTCACATCCAAACCAGCCCATAGTTAAGGCCATCAGAGCTGCTCTGCCACCACCCTGTCACCAGGTGTTGGCACATTTCTTTTGATTGCCTTTGTTTATATCTTGTTTCTCTTAAAAGGGGTGTTTTAAAATTTTTAGAAATTACTTATTCTCATTTTATTTGAAAGGCAGAGAGACAGAGACACACAGAGATCTTCCATCGGCTGGTTCATTCCCCAAATGCCTGCAACAGCTGGGGCTGGGTGAAGCCTGGAGCTCTGCGTGGGACTCCCACGTGGGTGGCAAGAATCGGAGTACTTGAGGCAGCACCTGTTGCCTCCCAGAGAGTGCTGGGGTCAGGAGCAGAGCCTGATGCAAAGCAGTAGCACTCCCATCAAGTGGCATCTTAACCCCTTCAATAAAGCCTCTCTTCGGAGTTTTTTCTTTTTTCTTTTTTTTTTAGCAGAGATTTGTGGAGGCCTTTGAGAGTAGCGGAGGAATGGCCGGATAGCACAGGAACAGGAGGAAGAAGCAAAACAGGAGTGGCAATCCAGTGGAGGCCATGAGGAGGCAAACTCAAACGCAGACAAACCCGGGAGCCTGTGGCCCAAAGGTGAGGACGGGGGAGGCCCCAGCCCCAGGAGCCACTCCCTGGGAGCACCGCGTTCAGCCACAACTTTTACACTTAGCAGGGCCTAGGGACCTCCTCACCTATCCCACTTATTTTGAATTCCATAGTCAGGGGCAGGTGGGTCTGGTTCAAATGTGTCCTTTTAGACAAGTTAGCAAGCTTTTCCAGGCCTCAGTTTCCTTATTTTCAAGAGAGGATGAGAAGAGACCCCGGCTTGTGCTTGGTCACCAGGGAGCACAGCTTGGCACCTGTCCACCTCCGCGTGGGCGGCTCGGCCTCCCTCCCTGCCTTCTGTCTAGCCACCAGCTAACTTTTCTCCCATGTTCTTTACTTCTTCCTAAGTGTTTTCATTTTGCCAGGCAGAGTTAGACAGTGAAAGAGAGGTCTTCCTTCCGTTGGTTCACTCCCCTAATGGCCACTACGGCTGGTGCTGCGCCGATCCGAAGCCAGGAGCCAGGTGGTTCCTCCTGGTCTCCCATGCGGGTGCAGGGCCCAAGGACGTGGGCCATCCTGCGCTGCCCTCCTGGGCCACAGCAGAGACTGGAAGAGCATCCTGCGCTGCCCTCCTGGGCCACAGCAGAGACTGGAAGAGGAGCAACTTGGACTAATACCCTGGGTGCCGGCGCCACAGGCGGAGGATTAGCCTAGTGAGCCACAGTGCCGGCCCCTAAGTGTGTTCATCCATTCAATCTTTCTCTGGGAAGACGAGGACCCGAGTGGGCCACGGTAGGGCAAAGTGGAGGGGGAGGTGCATGGAAGCTTAAAGAAGGGTCCGCAGGGCCACCCAAGGGGAGGCATGAATGTGTGTGTCGGGGTGTGTGTGTGTGTGTGTGCGCGCGCACACGCACGGGGGCGTGTAGGGTCACACCGGGAGGGCCGCCCCTGGTGCAAGACCCCCGCTCATTCCGCACGTTAAGAAACTAACGACGAAGGCCCTCAAACTTCTGGCAAGTTGGAAGCTTTTTCTCCCTAGTGGAAATCGCTGGTGGGAAATGAGGCTGTCAGGGAGGAAGTGTGAAGGTTGCTTTGGGAAAGGCCCTCTTTGCTCCGTGTGAGGGGCTCTCGGGAGTCCCTCCCCGCCTTGTTTTTCCCATCGCTGCTCACGGTCTGCATTCTGAGGTGGGGTGCACCGTGCAGCTCTGGGCTTCTTTACCCGCCGCCAGCCCCGAGGAACACATGGTTCCTAGTCTTCCTTCTCTGGACACCGCTATCTGTGGAACGTCTTTCCACGGCCTGCGGAGGCTCCTATTCAGTGAATATCCCCTCAGCCAACTTGGGAACCTGTTCACAGCAGTGCTGTAGTTTTCCTCGGTGACAAAACAGTTGTCTGCCAACTTCGCGTTAGTGAAAATGGGGAAAGAGGTCAACTCGGCGAGAGACCCCCCCAGCCCTGGGCTTGTACCTGAGCTCTTTTTGTTATTCTTTTTTTGACAGGCAGAGTGGACAGTGAGAGAGACCGAGAGAAAGGTCTTCCTTTACTGTTGGTTCACCCTCCAATGGCCGCCGCGGCCGGCGCACCGCGCTGATCCAATGGCAGGAGCCAGGTGCTTCTCCTGGTCTCCCAAGGGGTGCAGGGCCCAAGGACTTGGGCCATCCTCCACTGCACTCCCTGGCCACAGCAGAGAGCTGGCCTGGAAGAGGGGCAACTGGATTTTTGTTGTTCTTGTAGTCATAGCCTTTATATAAACAAAGGTCTGCATTGTAATGCGTATGAGGAATTGGGGTCTCCCTGGTTTCCTGCAATAAGAGTGGACCGGATTAGACTTTGAAGATTATTTACAGCCTGCCAGTGCCTTTGGTTTTGAATTCTTGGTGTTTTGATAGCTACCGCAGGTGCGACAGAGCCTTTCCCGGAAGTACTCATGGGCTGGGCCAGCCTCCCAAGCTTAGTTGGCACAGGAGCAGTGTCACCTGGTCTTGCCTGGGAGGAGTGCTCAGACAGCAGCTGCTAGAGGGTTTGTTCTGATTCTTGGGACAGCAGGAGCTTCAGTGGGTTTAGGGCCAAGCTTTGCTGTTAACCAATTGAGACATTTTGGCCATTAAACTTAGTCTCCTCAATCACCAATGATCCTTTCTCCGAACGACAAAAACGACTCCCGCACAAAGTTGCAGCTTATACTGGTATGTAAGGGTGGAACGCAGTGCGCGCACGGGGAGGCGTGAAATAGTAGCTGTGCAACAGGTGTGGGGTTTATTTGGAGCCACAGCCTGCACCTGGCTCTGGCGAGGGTCCTAGGAGTTAAGGCAAATGTTCATAAGAGTGCACTCTTTCGTCTGTCTTGAGAAACTAGGGCGTTTCCTGCGAGGTTTACGTCTGTTGGCTGAAGGGGCTCTCGGTGGCCCTGAAGTGGGTTGGATAAACATTTCGGCAGTGGAGAGTGAGCACTTGTGCTGGAGTACTAGGTACCATGCATTCAGACTTGAACCTGCAGAA